GTTTGATCCCGCCTCCGTCGACCATGTGTCCTGAGAAAGAAATGTGCTAAAATCTCTGCCACTGTGGACCGCATGTGACCTTATGACTGTGCCTTCGAAACGTGTGGACAGGCAGTGATGGCTTTTCCTACGCCTGAGTTTATTACACGACATCACGAGCCGTAGATCGAGCGATTTATATTTGTGCCGCATCTGGATTCTGCATTTCCTCGCCTATACAATTAAGTGAGGGGGGGAATGGTTCGTTGCGTATTACAACTCTTGAGCCTATAGATGGTACGGTGTGTGCTTTTGACGTGTGTGGCTATTCGCCGGAGCTTCAAGCATCCAACTCGTTTTCGATTACCCCCCCCCCCCCCCACGCCCCCAATATCGTGACCGTACGTCGAGCGGTTAAGATTTGTGCCCAACTGTTGACGGACGCACGGACGGACAGACGGACGGACGCACAGACGGACGGACAGACGGACGGACGGATGCACGGACGCATGAACAATCATGCGATTCTACAAGCTGCATCTGACTATGTCAGATGAGCTAAAAAGACAAGCATTTAAAAACAAAGATCTAAGCATTAGTGAAACGGCTTCCTTGATTTGTAATATCTGAATTCACTGTAATCTCATAAAATCAATATCATTCGAAATACGCCACACTAATCGATACAGGGCATCGAAGTGTGTAATTCATGTGCAAGCAGGTGCATATTTGTAGAAGCAGTGAAAGTATTCAGACATCTTCACAGATGCTAGGCGCAAGGTACAATATTTGCACCAATAATTTTTCTTAAAACATGGCCAGAGAATTTTGCCTACAAAATGGTTTCGAGCTTAGTCACATTTTAATAGCCATATATTTGTAAGGCAACTACTTGCAGTAAAGATGTACCGAGTGCCAGTAACACCCCGACTTTGGCACTGACCCAGTGTACTGCCAGTCGAAATTTATCTATACTTTATCAATGAAAGATAACAAAATATGTCATTCATCTAAGGATAATGTTTAAACTGGCTAGTATCAAGAAATCGATCCGGCAGTCAGTGATTAAGTGGAAATGCATAGCCGAGGAGCCCTTATAAACCAAATTTGTATCTGTGGGACAGAGAGCAAAGAACGTTTTTTTTCAGTTATCTGTAAAAGCAGCTGGAATCTAGAAGCTCATTATTTCATCTGAACGTGATAAAATAGTATTATGTTACTAACTGGCACTAACTGCACATTTCACCAAAAGACAGCTGGGGGGAGGGGGGTCACTGACTATTTCTTAAGAATCGCACTGCCCCTCACTGTGTGACTGTGAGCTGTGTGACCAGTGTGATCAACAATTACAATTGCTAATCGAGTCATTCATGAATGCTGACTTGTGTAAAGCAAACGTAAGCTCAGTTTACGATATGAACATCACGCCTAACTTTTAGTCAGAAAATTGGGAAGCTAATAAACTTTGCAAATAACTTTGTTAATATAGTAAAGACAGGTTTAGCAAATAGCTATAAATGAGATAAAATGGTTTCATGAATTTCAAACAATCATAATGCTGTTAGGGCTCTCCCCCAGGCCTTTAATTGATGTTTGGTCAGACATGCAATCAAAGCTAAAGCTAATTTGCGACATCCCAAAAATCCTCTGACACTGCTTTTATTGCCTAAATGAAATGCCTCAATTTCTATTTTTTGGAGGTATTCAAAGCTGAATTTATATGTCTCTGAAATTATCGCATTTATATATGCATTGGGGCTGTTGGCTCAAGGATAGATAGCATGTCCAGTAATAAACATCATCCTATATCCAATCACCGTCCTGGACATCATCTCTATCCTTGAACTGGGCTGTTTACAACATGGGTAATTGACTCCAATTAGCAATCAGGGATGATTGCCCGATTACTCGGTTTACCAAAATGCCTTCTGAAACTCTTGGAAATAAATCTGACAATTTTAAATAAAAATGTCAACTCTGATAATAAGTAATACCTAGGCTATATGGTGTTCATGTCATTAGCAAATGTACGGATATTCATTACACATACTGACATAGGTAGGACATGTAATTAAAATTACATCTTTCCCTCTCTTGATCAGTTGATGTAAATTCGATCAGCAAAATACAAAAGATCTTTAAAAAAAATACTACTAGTACTAATAATTGTAGTAGGGGTAGTGTTTCACCACTGGTATCATCAATAATTTAACCACTGATCTCAACTTTAGTGCAGTGCTGCGCTTAGTGTATTACACTTACACTACAGCAGTACTGTTATTGCTACTATCTTATTATAATTTGGCGAATGTTGTATGTATGTTAATGAAAGGCTCCGTCAGTTTGGATCCAAATAGCGCCAAATTTACAGAAGAGATCGATGAGTACACGGGACGGGTTCTAAACTATACTCGGTTGAAAACCGTTTGTTCGGTCTTAAAAAAGACAAAAAAACACAAAAAAAGGTAAACATTTGCCTGAAAATAGGGGGCGCTGTTTTGTTTTCGTTCTGTTTGTATTTCGTTTTGTTTCAACAGGTTTCAATTTCGTGTTGTTCTGTACGTGTATCTCTGTTCTGTGTCTGTGTGTCTGAGATTTGTGTAAGCCCTATAATGTAAGTAGAAATAACCATGTAATAATGAAGTTAAATATTCAGTAGCTATTAGGCCATAGTTTCCCATATGAGATGTACAAGTTGAATTTCATCAGTGCAGATTTTTTTTTGGAAGTCTGCAATGCTGTACAGTGTACGGGTGCCGTGGACACCGATCTGTCACAAGCGGTCCGATCACAAGCACGTAATATTACGTCGTCCGCACAGAGTGCAAACATGCATAGAAATAAGCGATCACAACCACGCAATATTACCTGGTCCGCACACAGTGGAAACATGCGAAGCACGTAATATTACGTTTACAATATACTCATTCACATCTATCTATATTCTAACTTTGGAGTCCGTATCATCAACCAGTACATAGCATACAATAAAACGTTAATTTCTGTGTGGGTGTGTGTATTTCACTGTGTACTTGCCAAACAAATGGTTAATGTGTTACGTGTAAGCATGATTGCACATGTATTTGTATTGACTTCTCAACCATAAAAAACAAACATGTGCAACAACTTAACTCTCCATATAACACCTTACACATAACACTACTGCACTGGTAACACATGTCACTAAGCCCGCGCGTAGCGCGGGTTTCAGCTAGTACTGTACTAAAAGTAAACGCTGTGGCTATATGCCCGGCAGCCGGGCACGATCTTCGTTTTCCTTAAATGCCGCAGTCTCTTAACCCTACTCTAACCCTAACCCTATTACCTTAACCAAAAACTCCTTAACTCTAGCCTAAACCTAAGCCCGATAAACCCTAATCCTAACTCTTAACCTGCTAACCCTTGTTTACGATGATGATTAACGTAAAAAATTAAAAAACTGCCGGCATTTAGGGAAAGTCGAAGACCGTGCCCGGCAGCCGTACAGAATACGCTGCGGACTGCCGGGCATATAGCCACTGTGAAAAGCAAAAGTTTACACTGGGCATTATCTCTAGTACATAGCCGCGTACGGTTTGCCGCTTAGGCTCTAGTACTATTAGCCCGCGGAGTCGCTGCCGCAGGGCTATAGCACATTCTGCCATAATGTAATCTAAGCAATGGTCAACTGAGGTGACCGAAAGATTTCATACCCCAAAACGTTAAACATGATCGGGCTTTTTAACACTTATCCTATCACATGGACATTCACCTATCTTTTTAAAACTTCCACAACTTTACACCAGTATTTATTCTGCGGTTATTCCTCAAAGTCTTCAGCACTACATGGTGTTCTGTTTTTCCTCAATGAGGTTGCCGGCTTATGTGTGCACTGCCGTGATCTTCAGTGCTAAGACTTGAGGAATAACAGCCAATAAATACCTGGTTGTAAAGTTGTGTAGTGCTTCAAAAAGATGAGGTGAGGATGTCCATTGTTGATAGATAAGTGTCTAAAAAGCCCGATCATTTTATCGTTTGCGGAAAAATTTTCGGGGCACATCAGTTGACCATTTGCTAGTTACATCTATGGCAGCAATGTGCATATACGCCCTGCGGCCAGCGATCCGTCGGAGCCTATAGTACTAGAGCTAGGTTGCCGCTGGCCAGCGGTGCCAGGATGCCAGCGGTGCCAGCGGAAACCGTACGCGGGCTATAGTTACTAGAGCTAACTGGTCATTTGATCATAGATATAGAAGAAGATATCTTCTTCTATATCTATGATTTGATCTACTAGTACTTACTTCAGACGCTGTGATGGTAAACGTGAACGTGGTTTTGTTGATTGTGTTTATGATTAAGCGCCACCTCGTGGATTATGTTTGTGTTGGTTGGTTAGGTAACAAAGCACTTCGTGAATCTGCCGAACATGACCGAATCCGGATTCTTTGTTTTGTTTTGAAGTTTCCTGCGCAGCTGACGTCACAACCCCGAGCGGCGAGAAATAATGCTCACTTGGTTTTTCTACGTTGGCGTAGCAGACGGGTATCACAAGTAATCACGGGTTTCATCGTAAATTGGCGTTTTATAAATATTATCACAACTAAAGTATTAACAATTTTGTTATAAAGCACAATGTTACAACGATACTCTGCCCAACGCCACCGTTGGCGTTGGCGACACCAATATAAACAAGGGGCCAAAATACAGTAAGTTTTTGTTTACACTTCACTTGCAGTTGCACTACACATGATAGGGGCCTACCGTAGGCGTAGATACAATAATCATATTAATAATGTAACCCAAACACAGGATGTAACCCCTATCCTGTGTTTGGGTTACAATGTAATTTGGGTTACATTGTATCTAATGATACCGGTACATCGATAGAAATAAAAACTGCTTAGAAGTTAGACATAATGTTTACACTAAGTTACACATAATGTTTAGACATAATAGTTTTAATACTAATAGACGTGTTCACACACAAGAAAAACCACGCTGCTCATCCCGCTAATAGCGGAGATAATAGTGAGCTAATTGTGTCGTTGTTCACACAGGCGGAAATATCTCGCTAATCGCTGAGCGGGATAACACGCCGCGGTGCAAATAAGCGCACTTATTCCAAATTAGCACAGTCGGAAGTGTTCTTTGCAGCGCGCTATTTTGAGCGCGATTTAGTGAGCTAATTGCGTTCACACTTGTAAAAAGCTCGGTTTTTCGAGCGGGCTGCAATTCGCAGCCCGCTAATTCGCGCCAGTGTGAACGCACCTAATGTTTACACTCACTCAGTCCATCGCCGGTATCCCTACAATAAAAAATAAAAAAGTGAAAAATATGCACGTGGTGTAACTGAAACTGTAAATTATAATACTATTACTAGGTTTACCTAATTTTTTATTAATCTTATTATAAATATAATATATTAATAGTTTATTAATAAATAAAATTTAAAAATTAACATTTTATTTACAGTTTATTAATAACTGTATTATGTATAGTATTAGTGTCTATGCAGAACTTAGTCCGACGAGGCTGTGCGACTGATTGTCTAAACGGTCTTCTAACCCTAGCAAGACCGTTTCTTGGAGCTATGCAGAACTATGCGAGAAGTTATAGCAATATAGGCAGTGCCAGTGGTTAACGTCATGGACTCTAATTTGTGCTACCCGTTGTTTAAACATTTAACATTTTTTACCTCCAGTCTCCACCCCACATACACAGTGAATAATAAATAATAAAAAAATATCTGACATTTTACAGTAGCAGCACTGCCACTGGTATGGATCAGTCAAGCATTTCCACTTTGACCCTTATTAAGGAAATTATACATATAAGTTATAGTCTATGTAAAACCACTATCATTAATAATTTTAAAACATGATTAGTATGTACATGGTGTTGTGGTATTGGCCTTTACTACATTAGATTAGAATTGCTTAATCTAGAGAGAACTATATTTTATGTGAAATTGTAATTTAAATCAATGTCAATAACAATATAATTCATCCTAGATTTTGGACTGTTGGTGACACCAGTTACTGGCGAGAGCAGTACAAATCGAAGTAGCAACAGCAGCAGCACAAGCCTACTTAACACTCTGTCTAGCACCAGTAGCAGATGCAATGCAAGGAGCACGCCATACTCAACAACACGGTCTAGCTCTGCTCTCCGAAACAGGTTGAATAATTTCAAAGTCAATAATTTCCATTGAAAAGTAGTGTACTTGTAATTGCTTGCTATAGACATTTTAGGGCATTGTAATAAAAATGTAAATTTTTTTGGCCCTTGTATGCACGTATTGGTTTTTGTAAGTTATTTTAAGTTATGAATGCTTTACATATATCATTGAATTATATTAATAAAAACATACATGTTTGTGTGTGTGTGCGTGTGCATTCATGTGTGCATGCCTGCATGCGTGCACGCGTGTGCGTATCCTTTATATCAAATGTTTTATCCTACTTATGTATATTATCTAGGAGCACTACGTCATCCGGAATGTATACACCACATGGTTCAAGTTCAAGCACAAGAACACCGCGGTCAAAGAGAGGCCAATACACTTCAATGAGTACCGGTTCTGCTGCTGTGGATTCCAGTGTGCTTGTTGGTAAAGTTACTTTACATATTATATATCCGTAATAAAATTACAATAATTCATGCTGTGTACATGTTTTCCTATATGCAATGTTCAACATGTGCTAACTGGTACATGGTAGCAGTCAACAATGATGCTTATCTATCTAATCCTGCAAATGCTTTGCGAGATAGAGATTCACAGCAAAACCATTGTGAGACTGAGTGACTGCGACTTGAGCTAAGCAAGTTGCACAGATCATTCCCAAATCTAGATAATACGCCAATAGCTAGCGTGATAGGCTAATAACTTGGCTATATATAATGCATGGGATAATACCTTCTACAATATGGTGTCTTTTCAGCTATTGTGGAAGGACGAGGCCAAGCACGGGGGGAGATAGGCATGGCCAGTCTAGATTTGAAAACCCCAATGTTAGTCTTATCTCAGTTTTCTGATAGCCAGACCTATGTTAAAGTCTCCACCAGGCTGAATATATTGCAACCTTTAGAGGTATGCCCATATTACAATCATTAGAGGTATATATAGTAATACTACATGTTATAGCCTTTCAAGCTATAGAAATATTTTAAAATTAAAATATATGAATATATCGCAATCTATAGCCCATTTTGAACCATTAAAAGACATGAACTTTTTTTAAGTCTGCTGCTGAAGAATTTTTCAAGGCAGCTTTGCTTAAGTCTTATATTACTGGAAATATGTATCTAAGCAACACTCACAGATAGATCCCGGTGTTAACTGAAACATGTAAGACACACGTATCTGAACAACACTGGTACCTACTGTAACTGCCAACATGGCCTGCAGGTGATTATGCCAACAAATTCATGTGAGAATGGAAACGCCACCAAGCTGTTCAAGTTGATCAGTGACAGCTTCTCAGATAGGGTCATCTCAACCGTACAGCGCAAGTATTTCAATGAGTCTAAAGGTCTGCAGTACATTCGGCACCTGTGTCTGCCAGAGCACAGCTCAGTTCAACTAGAGGTCTCTCAGAAGTGAGTGAATGTACAGCATCTGTTCGTCTGTTACTCCTGTAGGAGTGTTTACGATGTACACATTACAAATGGAAGCCTGTGTGGTGTGTAGCAGTTTGTTCTCACTGCATATAGCTGTCATGGGGATGAAGACACATGATGGAACGTTGATGAATTGGTCTCTTATGTATGCCAATTGTTCCCTTACACCTTATTAAAAAAATCAATAATATTATGCATACCAACGTTATATTTTCCTCGTGACTTAGAATTGTATGCAATAGAAATGTAGGTATACTTCTGCTAGGTTTTAAGAATAGATTGTAAGATTGGTGGCCAGAACTGACACCTGCAGAGTGTAGTTTGTAGAATAGTACCCATTGCTGTTATAATTATTCCTTTTCATCACTTGAAAAATGTAATGCGTTACAGATACCCGTGTTATAATTTATATTTTCGTTGTGACTTCTACTAATTGTAGGTGATGAAGAGGTAGCTATGCTCAAGACAACTTCTGCTACGTTTTAGAATAGATAGTAAGATAGGTGTCTACAGTGGCTAGGTGTAGTTTAAAGAATAATGGCCATGTTGGTATTGTCAATGATAAGATATGGGCTGTGATGACATGTCCTAGGTTAATTGGTGGCTTGGAGCAGATGTGCATACTTTTGCAGGTATTACTGCTTGGCAGCAGCTGCAGCATTGCTAAAGTACGTGGAGTTCATACAGAATACTGTTTATGCACCTGAATCACTGAAAGTGGCTTTCTGTGGGAGCGAACACACAACCATGATTGGTGAGGCTGCGTTTAAAACGGCTTTTCAGAATTAGATTTAACGGCGTGTGTTGTTAGGCCCAGACATGGCACACATATAGCAATGCCATGTAAAGACTAAACGTAGATACATAATCAAACAAAATTAATGCAAAAACAACGCAAATACTTTTAAAACATGAAATATCCAAACTATTTATACAGATGGGGATGTAAGCATTAAAGCATGTAGAAAAATATTGTAGTATGGTCATTTAGTTGAAATTAGTTACTGGATCGATTTATAGTACTTTCTGTAGTGATAACATTTAAAATTGTAATGTTTGTATATATAGAATTAGGAGTATACAATTGTTTTTATTCACCCCTGATAGGGTATTTAGCTAAATTTAGTGACAAATCTCTTTGAACTTTGAAAATCTTCATTACAGATGCAACTACTGCAACAAATCTCGAACTTATCTGTAACCTTCTAAATCCCAAGTCTGATCACAGTCTTTATGGAATACTGAAAGTCCCACAGACCCCAGGAGGAGCCAGGTTAGAGTTCACACAGTTTAATATTAATTAGATCTATACACATTATATAGTAACTGTTGTGTTATATATAAGCAAATATGGAGACATCATTATATGTAATCTATATTATATACATCATATCACTGCTCACGCTATGATTGCAGTCACTTTGTTATTTTATTATTTATCTTAATGTTTGTTTGTTAATTAATCTTTCATTCAAGGAATTATCATTATAAAAAAATTAAGCGGTATTATGCAGCCATGTTTTTAATCAATCCACCTATAACCACGTGTACACCCCACATGAAAATTGCAATGAGAGCTTGATGAATTGACACGGTAGTGCGCCCGTCACTCTATGCATTCAACCTGCGTAACACTTGCGGTAGTAACATTAGTATTGTGTGAAGCACTTATTTTTTGCATACAGGTTGCTAAGAGCCAACCTTCTTCAGCCTCCATGTGATCGAAGCACGATCGAGATGAGGTTAGACTGTGTGCAGGAGCTCACAGAAAAGGAGGAGATGTTCTACAATTTACAGGCTCTACTTGAGAGGTTTATTGTTTCTTCTTCTTCCTCCTCCTCCTCCTCCTCCTCCTCCTCCTCCTCCTCCTCCTTCTCTTCCTCATCCCCCTCCTCCTCCTCCTTCCTCATGCTGTTGTTGTTGTTGTTGTTGTTGTTGTTGGTCTTGTTCTTCTTCTTCTTCTTCTACTACTACGTCTTCTTCTTCTTCTTCTTCTTTCTTCTTCTTCTTCTTCTTCTTCTTCTTCTTCTTTTTCTTCTTGTTCGTCTTCTTGTTTTTATCTTCTGCTTCTTCTACTTCCAATATATGACTGCCTCATTATTAGTAGAGGTATACAAAATGTTAACATCCTGTGCAAGCTAGTCTACTAATAATATTATCATCCTGTACATACGTACTAATGTTTTCTTCTCGTGCAGGAGTACTAAAGTTATCTTTCTGTACATGTGTACTACCTTCGTGTACGGGTGTGTTATCGCAACCTTTTTGTACAGGTGTACTAATATATTTCCTTCCTGCGCAGGTTCACAGACATTGACCACCTGGTGTCACTGTGTGTGCAGATTCCAAAGCAGGAGACGGTTAAGACGGCAGACAGTAAGATCGCGAGCATTATCAGCATGAAGCACACGCTGGAGCTGGTTGATGCGCTACAGACGGCGCTAGGCTGCGCAGAGGCGCCTCTGCTCAAGGCCTACTACAACGTGAAGCATTTACGACACTGCCGCATGCGTAATCGGTTGCGTGAACGTTTACGTGCCTGCTGTGGCGCGTGCGTACGCGTGTGCACTTCCTTGTAGTTATTTGCGTGTGTATGTGCTCGTGCATGTATGCGTGCGTAAGCGCGTGCACTTCATATTGTAGTTATTTGCGTGTGTATGTGCTCGTGCATGTATGCGTGCGTAAGCGCGTGCACTTCATATTGTAGTTATTTGCGTGTGTATGTGCACGTGCATGTATGCGTGCGTACGCGCGTGCACTTCATATTGTAGTTATTTTCGGTGTGTATGTATTGCGTGTGTATGTGCTCGTGCAGGTATGCGTGCGTACACTTCCTTGTAGTTATTTGCGTGTATATGTGCACGTGCATGTATGCGTGCGTACGCGCGTGCACTTCCTTGTAGTTATTTGCGTGTGTATGTGCACGTGCATGTATGCGTGCGTACGCGTGCACTTCCTTGTAGTTATTTTCGTGTGTATGTATTTGCGTGTGTATGTGCACGTGCATGTATGCGTGCGTACGCGTGTGTACTTCCTTGTAGTTATTTTCGTGTGTATGTATTTGCGTGTGTATGTGCACGTGCATGTATGCGTGCGTACGCGTGCACTTCTTTGTAGTTATTTGCGTGTGTATGTGCTCGTGCATGTATGCGTGCGTACGCGTGCACTTCCTTGTAGTTATTTTCTGTGGTATGTATTTGCGTGTGTATGTGCACGTGCATGTATGCGTGCGTACGCGTGTGTACTTCCTTGTAGTTATTTTCGTGTGTATGTATTTGCGTGTGTATGTGCAGCTGCATGTAATGCGTGCGTCGCGTGCACTTCCTTGTAGTTATTTTCGTGTGTATGTATTTGCGTGTGTATGTGCACGTGCATGTATGCGTGCGTACGCGTGTGTACTTCCTTGTAGTTCTTTGCTGCGTGTATGTGTGTATAGTGTCTTCGTGCGCACGTGGATGAATGCGTGTTTACGTTCTTGGCGGTTCTCTCGTCTGCTGCGTGTACGTACGCGCCTACGTGTCTGTCTGCTAGTCTCTTTCCTCATGCATGTGCACGTCCTTGCCTTGAACGTGAATTGCTTTGCTTGCACTTGCTTAATTTTGTCCTTGCTTTGCACGTGAATGCCTACCTTCCTTCGTATATGCCCGCGTACCTACATGGTGGTCCCGCGTGTACGCTGCATATTCCTGCCTTCCGGCGCGCGCGCGCGGTTGGGGGAAGAAGGGCACTTACTGGTATGTTACTTAAGCCGGTTCTAATGTTTAGTTACTGTCTTACACATCTATATGGAACGTACCTATATATAGCTTGAACAAATGGAAAACATATCGAGTTTATTTCCTTAGTGTCAGCCTGTTTGCACTTGCCAAGGGCATTGGATCTTTTATTACCACAACATTTTTGTGAGGTATAGCTGCTAACGTTTTTCTCTACTCTTATTATATGGTTTCCTTTTAGACGAAAACGTAATTTGTAGGGGACGGAGTTGGAAAGCCTTCCCACCATAAAAACCTCACCATATAGAACAGTTATAGTGATTCTCCGCCACGAAAAAAATGCCCAGTGAGTCAGCACTTATAGCTTAAACGATCAGCGCTTATAGTTCGCTAGCTATACGTAAGATAAATCTGCCCTTAATCCTGCGCTTTCCATCCTCAGTCCCTGAGCGATCCTCGGTTTGAGCAGATCCTGCAGAAGATACGGGCCGTGATTCACGATGACACCCGCCTGCAGAAGGGCGCGCTCAATATGAGGACGCAGAAGTGTTTCGCAGTGCGTCCTAACATCAACGGTATGTGTGTGTGTGTGTGTGTGTGTGTGCGTGTGTGTGTGTGTGTGTGTGTGTGTGTGTGTGTGTGTGTGTGTGTGTGTGTGTGCGTGTGCATTCATGTGTGCATGCCTGCATGCGTGCACGCGTGTGCGTATCCTTTATATCAAATGTTTTATCCTACTTATGTATATTA